GCTGCGGGGGCGGGGGTGGGGGAACACACCTAAAGGCCAGCCAGGGAGGGACTGGGGATGCCCAGACTCTGGAAACATCCTCTCGCTATTTGCCCAGGAACTCCTGGCTTTCTGGCTTCCGCCTGCCCGGGTCGCTCACGTACTTTACTCGAAGCCCGTAGGCCGCTCCCTGGGCCCTGGGATCCTATCGCCTGGAGGTACGACCTGGGTCTCGGGGTGGGGGGGTGGGGGTGGGGAGGCTTCGAATCTCTTAGGCCTAGGACACCATCCACAGGTATGAGCGTTAGAGCTCTGCCAAGGTATGACTCTACTTGGCCCCCCTGGCAGCACCCCTTACCGTCGGCAGCGCCCCTCCCCGCCGCCCCCCAGAGCCACATGCCAGGTTAGCCTTGACTGGATCAGTTGAAAGCTGACTGGGCTGGGCAGGCACGTCCCTGACCTCCAGCATTCGTTAATTGCATGACTTTGGACCACACATTCAACCTTCCTGAGCCTCAGCGCTTCCATCTGTAAGATGGGTGTTCAGGAGAAGGTTTTTCTCTGATGGTTCCTAGGAGGGCTAACCTGGGGTGGGGGTGGGGCGCGTCCCCAGCTCGGGACTTTGCAGGCGCTTCCTGAGCGGTCAGCTAATTCTAAGAAGACATTTCCCGGGCTTGTGAGCACCGAAGGCCTGGGGACAGTTGCTGTGCCGGGACTCTTAAGGCCCCTGAGTTTTCAATTGTGTGATGGTGGTGGTGGTGGAGTGCTTTGAGACATCCAGTCCTGGGGGGAGAGGAGGGGAGGGAATCCAGCTTTTGGAACAATGGGACTTGGGGAGAGACCTGGAGATGGGAGCTGGGGCCGCTGCCACAGCATTAGGACTTGAACCTTCCGCACTCCGGGTCACTGCCAGTGCATGGAGAAACCCTTCTCTTTCTCAGCCACAGGCCAGGAGAGGGTGAAAAGGCGAGCTGGCCTCTCCTCTGGGGCCCAACACCCATAGGAAATTCTGCGAGCAGATGAATTGCGACGGGCCCAGAACTTCATACTTGCCTCCCGGTGGAGTGGCTCAAGGCCCGCAGAGACCTCTCACTTGGCCTCGGGGTCCACGGTACCGTGGATTTTCCCTGGTGGTGTGTGCGTTCAGCTTAGGCGCTATCCATCTGCCTAGGGATGATGGATGACCTATCACAACGACCAAACATTTTCCGTCCAGCTCTGTTCCAGCCAGCACCGAGGCATCCTGCGCGAGGCCGGGTCTAAATCTACGCAGTCCATTTTCTGGGCTCAGATAAGATGAGTGGCGAGGAGCCCAAAAGAAAGACAGTGAAATCAGGAGAGAATGGCTGCTACTTATTCAGAACGGCGCGGGTCACATCAGCTGAGTTACTGGGGAAAAGGCAAATACCATTTCTTCTCCTTGGAGCACCGGTGACTGGAACGCGTCGGAGCCACCGGCCACTTTTGTTCACTTTTCCTCGCCTGGTATCCTCGTATGCACCCGGGGCGGAGCTGGAGACGAAGTCTAGTTTGTGGTTGTGTAAGCCATGGGCCCAGTGGCGACCCGAAGTGTCCTCGTAGACATCAGTAGCCACACTCGGACGTGAGGCTTGGGGGGCATAAGATTTTCACGTGGCTCAACCGGGGTCGGTGAAGGGCCTGGCCCGTGTGCGGAAGTAGGTTTGCCACCAGACATAGCTGAGTGCCAACAAGGAGAGGGGGCAGGTCCACAAGAACACAACGTGAAGGGCTCGCTGAGCGCTAGACGAAGTGCAGACCGCGGCGTCGCGGCCGCCTCCCAGCCCCGCGTCCAGGCTAGCTGTCACCGGGACCCGGCACCCTCTGGAGCCCCTTGGCTCCAGGGCTCACAGCTAGGGAAAGCCACTCTCCCCGGCCGCCTGCCCCACCCCGACTTTTCTCTTGGGAAGCTTTTTGGTGGGAGATGGCGTGGCGGGTGAGCCCCTTCTGGCATCCAGCGGCACGCCAGGAAAACTGAGCGGGGCAGGAGCGCAACCCCAGCCCGGGAACGCCACCCGCCCCGCCGCCTGGCCGCGCGCCGCCTCGCGTGCAGAGATGGCTTCCCCCGACAGTGTTTCCTCCGCTTTCTCGGTTAGGACGCCCAGCGGGCACCTCGAAAAGCCAAGTCCAGGAGAGACAGCCAGCCAGCCAGCAGCGGACGTCAGGGCAAGGGGAAAAGAAAAAAAAAGAAGGTGGGAGTTAAGGGATGGGAGATATGTGTGTGTGCGGGGGGCGCGGGCAGAGCCGGGAGCCAGCCGAGTTAGAACTTCCCTTTCCCGCTCCCCTCCCCGGGGCTCTTCTCGCTGCCTTCCCACCTCCTCCCTCCCCCAGCTCGCTCTCTCTCTCTCTCTCTC